ACAATCGTGGGATAAATATGCGGGATAGAAAACGAGGGGGATATTTCGCAAGTCATCCGCATGAAAGGCCCGGGTGATGGGGACCTATCCCATGAATAAGAAGGGATAGGATAAAAAGTGGAAATGTGGATCAATTGAAATCGAATAATTGTAAAAGAAGTAACGACAAACTGCTAATTGAGTAGTCCAAATGAGATTAACTTGGAAATGAAGCTAGCATTTGTTGCCAATTCTAGACGAAAAGTGACACAAAAGGGTGGACATCAATGATGTATTGCGACTAAATGCACGCATGGTGATTCACTGCGAGTGAGGCTAGGCAGAACATGCTCGTCGCAGGAGACCGAGTTAAGCGGATCGGAGAGTAGCCAAGGATTTTTCCAAAGGAGGAAAACAAGTTGGGGACCCGAAGGACGGCAACAATCGCTACTAAAGCTTCAAACTGGGACTCGAGTGGCATGCGTGGCCAGCACATTTCTCACAGTAATCAGAATGTATAAGCAAGAGCCCAATGCACCGGGGACCGTTGCACCGAAAATAACTGAGTAAAAAGTTGCGCCTAACCGCAATCAGACTGGAGATTACGGTGGAGTTAGGATTTGCGTATCCGTGTGATCTAGGGAGCCACCATGGGTACGGTTCGTATAAAGAGAAAAACAAATGAGGTGCTAGCACCCGGTGTGGTTGATGATGATGCTATTTGTGTAGCAGAGTCGGAGTGCCGGCCCAAAAAACTGCATCAAGACATGTCTCCAACGCAAACATTGGAACCCCCCGTTTGATGCTTATCGAATGATCTGCTGCCATAGACTTGGAACCACTACGCTATCCCAGCCTACAGATGAAGCGTATCAGAGCAAGGATCTTCATCGGTAAGAAAATCCACTCACATTTTATCAGCGCCTCGGTGTGTCCGCACAATGCTTATGGCCACATTAGACATCTAGCTTCGAGATTAGTTGTCCCTCATGGGGAAGGGAGCAGCATGAGCAAGTCGAGTATCAGGCGTCAGAGCGTAGAGAATAAGCCGAAAGCGATTAAAGGCGCCCTCAACGCAACAAAACGATTCACATTTGCAGAGAATTGGGTGCTAAAGATTCCAATGGTAATTAGTCGAAGTAAATTAGCCATATTCGAAGACATGATAGCAATAGACTGGTAGTCGTGGGACGGAAGTCAGAGACGGTTTGAACTGAAGGACATCATGCCAGACTATTAACAAAACGGGTTGCGCGGACTCAAGCTTGGAAAGTGAAAGGAAACAACAGCATTTAACCATATGGTCAGGGAGCTTATTTCAAGTTACCAAGTTTTAATCCTTTCTAGGTCCGAGAAACAAGGTGAAGCCCTCACCAGTGAACAAGCAGTTCAGTTCAATCGAAAAACCATGATCCGATCAGTGGAGTGCGGTGGATCGAAGTGTCATGACTTGCAGTCAGAATAACAATAGCAAGAAAAGGAGACTGTGAAAATAAAATGCAAAAAATATGGAATCAGGACAGAAGAGCACAAAGTTAAGAGGGATGGAATGAAGGTTAACAGCTAGATGCAATACACCGAATTTAGGAAAGCTACTGGCAGTGCGACTGCGCAATAGCTGAACAGGTCTCAAGCCATTGGCGTGGACCGTCCCGGCCCCCCATGAAGATAGCATGAACAGGCCTAACCAAATCTCTGTCAATTTCCTCATAACTTTACTGACTGGCAACCTCCCGATTTCACCGAATTTGATGCAGCCAAGCCGATGAAGTTGGTCAACGGCCATAGTAGGGAGGACATGGCCCAGTCAACATAGGTGATTCTGAATCAGTAAACACAAGAGTGAGGAACCAGGTTTCTTGTCCAAAAACTTGTGACAGCAGCACTGCTCACCCGGTGCTCCTGCCAGATGTGAGCAACAGTTCGCAAGCACAAGTCTGTCTTGTAATCCGAGGGTGCGGGTGCAAGCCTGCGTAGTGATCGGGCGACCCTCGCAGCATCCTTAACCCACGTGTGACTGTTCGCGGTTGCGCGGCAGCGAAGTGTCCGTACTACGTACCGACATACTGTTTATTTTGCGTTTAATATCTTCAATGACAATCCTCAGCAACACGATGTTCCACACGGACACCGCAATCACAAGCAGCATCAAAAACACAAGATGTCATTCCCTGAATGTAAATATTAGAAAGAGTATGAGCTAAGACACAGCCTTGCTTCATGGAAGGGACAACAGAAGTTAACCGAGGTATGATTGCTCAGCTGCACCCTCATCATCATTCATCATTATACAAGTTAGCTAGAGGTGGGAAAAATCTCAGCTACTGTGCCGCAATACATAGAAGAAAAAAGGAGAAAAATGCAACAGGTGCAAGCCAACTGCGCTACCGATAACGGATGGGCATCGTTCCGGTAGGCTACCAGCCGGCTACTGTGCAGCAAAAAATTACTATTATATAAGGCTAAATTGTGAGATCGTGGTTGCAGGGGGAGACTAATAGGGATGGAGTGGGACAAAGAAACTCACAGCCCGAACGCCACTGAGGTCGGCTCCTAGCCATATCAACAAGTGGATCTAGCCGAACGTATTCATCGGCTTCCGGACCCCAACCAGGGAACCGTGACGCTCTAACTAAAGCCAGCTTCGACGTGAGGGCCTTCATTCCTCTGGACCAAGTCATGGATCGGCCACCCTTCCTCTTCTTCCAGCCACACCCGCGGCGCGCAAACAACGCACGTCGCGGGAGTCGGTGGGCTGGCATGCGCAACACGTGGCCAAGCCATCATTATCATCATCATACACGTTAGCTAGAGGTGGGAAACACCTCAGCTACTGTGCCGCAATACATAGAAAAAAGGAGAAAAAAATGCAACTGGTGCAAGCTGGCTGAGCTACCGGTAACGGATGGGCATCGTTCCGGTAAGCCACCAGCCGGCTGCTGTGCACCCAAAAAGATTATTATGCAAAATTATATAAGGCTAAATAATGAGATCGTGGTTGGAGGGGGAGGCTAAGAGGGATGGGGTGGAACAAAGAAACTCACAGCACGAACGCCACTGAGGTCGGCTCCTAGCCATATCAGCAAGTGTGTCTAACCAAACGTGTTCATCGTCTTTCGGACCCCAATCAGGGAGCCGAGACGTTCCAACCGAGGCCAGCTCAGAAGTGAGGGCCTTCATTCCTCTGGACCAAATCATCGCTTGGCCACCCCTCCTCTTCTTCCATCCACACCCGCGGCGCGCAAACAACACACGTCGCGGGAGTCGGTGGGCTGGCATGCGTAACACGTGACCAAGCCATCGGAGCCTGGTGCGTGAAATAACGGTGCTGAGCGGTTCAGTTCCTTTTCCTGTGCCGTAAACAAGGCATCGAACACGCTCGTTGCTCACGCGGTGTTCCCACCAGATGTGAGCTAAATTGCGAAGGCACCGGTGGTCTGATCAGATCAGATCACAGATCTCTGACTACGGCGATAGACTCAATATTTCCAATGTGGGTTGCCATCGACTTTACAGTTCCATATTATTCCCAGCACTACTTAGGGAAAGAGCATTAAACGCGCGCAAATTTACGGCAGGCGAGCAATGCATGGATTTAGGAAAATATGCGTACGATTTGGTACGCACCAACTTGCGATCACTGCCACGCTCTGCCTCACGCACATGTGTCATGCGCACCTCACGCATGTCACGCTAGCGTACGACCAGATAGTCGAGTAGGTGAGCGCGACCACGCCGTGAGTGCGTCCAAGAGGCTGTCACTCGCATCCAGTGCAAAATGGGTGATCGTGATCGTCGGGACGTGAATGGCACACAGTGAGAGCAGCCGGTCACTGTACCCGCAGCATCAGACCCAATGTGCGCGTGGGGATCACCCAGTAGGAATATCCGGTCACTCCCCTGCACAGGTCGTACGACGGTGGACAACTGGGTGTAAAACTGTTCCTCGTGTCATTAGGACAACACAAGCCGAAGGCGAACCGTTATCAGTCGGCTTTTCCACCAGCTGGTAATTCAGGTGGTCAGATAGTGCAAATCCGACCCCATGTTCACATGGCGCTGTGGTGTCGTTTTTCACTAAGTACAATGTGTGCCTTAGTAAGCGAACCGAGTCTCATTGACTACTACAATGTTAATGCCGTAGCGCGCTAGTTCCATTGCGATCAGTGCAATGCGTATGCTCCAGCACCTGATAATGGGCGCTTTGCGCGGAGGCATACGATTGCACTGCGCAATCGCTCGTGTTGACCTGGATTTGAGGAAGTAGTGGGTTAGCTGAAATGTGAACTGGAGAGAATGTGCAAAGAAGGTAGAAAGGAGAGAAACGTCAGCGGTAACATGCTTCCGCTTATCCACCCGCGGTATGTAACAGAAAAGGGGACCGCTTTAGCTTCCCTATCACTGCGCGACGACCGATGCAGCAGTATTCGTCATCATCACCAATACACGTTAGCCGAGGGTAAGAAACACCTCAGCTAATATACCGCAATATAAATAAGTAAGATATTAAGCAACGTGAACTTAAAAGCTATAAAAAATTGCGTAATGTTGATATCACATTTTGATGGTTGTTGGAGGGGGAAGCTAAAGATGTAGTTATTGGTTTGGCTTGGGAGCGGTGTAACGTCACGGCGTCCACATGTAAACAGAAGAAAGACTCGGGTCCACAACCAAAGCCTTCAATAAAATATACTCCCGAAAGGCAGCGGGAGTCGGTGAATCGACTCACGCGGAAGTGTCCTGGCTCTTAGCTAGAAGAAGGGTGTGGCCCGAATGCCACTCAGCAGTCGCCACGAAAAGACATCCAGCACATGAGTTCACGCAAAATATAAGCAACAGTGGTCGACGATCTGTCAGGATTTCGCCACCACAAGCCTCAGTCAGCCAGGAACTCTCCCGCCTACACACTTATCTATACATAGATACAGGACAGATGTGCACTACAGAATAAACATATTGTGCTCACTTTGTGTCTCTTTAACTTTTGAACATTTCTTTTGATTGCAGCAACCATAGTGGGTTTATCTGAAACAAAAGGACAAGAATAAAAAGCACAAACAATACTTTAGAATTTCAGGCTGGCAATTCGCCAATGGTTGTAGGCAGAATGTGAAGTTGTGCACCCAAGCAGGTCCAAAATACAAGAGAGTTGTTTGAACAACTCTACTGGTCACTTGAAAACAATCCAACTAGTTGTCGACATCAAGAAAAGAAGACCATCATCAGCATTAGCAGTACACGTTAGTTGAAGGTGGGAAACACCTCAGCTGTGCCGCAATACAAAAAGGTTACACTTCAAACAATCCGAAAGCAGGCAATATTATGGTAAGTATATTATACACTTTGTATGAGATCGGAATTGGAGAGGGAATCTAAAAGGGAGGGGATGGACAAAGAAACACAACACAAAGGCTACTGGGGCCGGCTCTTCGCCATATCAGCAAGTATGTCCAGCCAAACGTGTTCATCGTTCTTGGGATCCCAGCCAGGCAGTTGGGATGCACCGACCGACGCTAACTTCGAAGTGATGGTTTCCATTTCTCTTCACCAAGCCATCGTTTGGCCTCCCCTTCTCCTCTTCCAACTGTGCCCCAGCGCGCAAACAATACACGTCGCGGACGTCAGTGTGCTGGCATGCGCAACATGTAGCCGAGCAATCGGAGTCTGGTGCGTGATATAATGGTGCTGAGCGGTTCACTCGCTCTTCCTGCACCAAATTTCCCACGCCGAACACATTCACCGGTTCAAGTGGTGCTCCCACCAGACATGAGCTAAGTTGTGAAGGCAGCGATAATCGAACGTGACTGGCCCCTTGATGTCTGTTGACCTGATGGGCCAGATTTGACAACCGTGTAAGAGGGTTGAACGGACGGCTGCGTTATAAACCCTGCCCTTCAGGGCGAGAGTGATGTCGCGTCTGCGCCACTGGTGGCAGAGTATGGCAAAAGCACCTTAAGTTTCTGCTATACGGTTCGCAATCTCATCTTCGATCCCACGGGCTTTAATATAGCTGCCCAGGTACTTGAATTCCTGAACGAGTTCTAGCTGATCACTACTAAAGGGCAGCGCAGAGGTGGGTTCCGCCAATCTGGGAGAGGTACTTGAATTTCAATGGAGCAAAGCATAGCCCAACACGATTGACAGTCAACATTATCGGTCCAGTGCAGCCTGCCACGTTTGGGAGCTGTCACAGATGAGGGCAATATTGTCCGCATACTCCAGGTCAAGAAGTCGCTCACGTTCTAGGTCATGTCCAGCGAACGTTGTTTCCATGACTTCGTTAACAGCGAAGTTAAATAGGAAAGACAACAACGGACAACATTCTCAGACCACTGGAGATAATGAAGGGCGGCGACAGTTTGCCATAAACCCTCACACTGCAAGAACTATGCGAGTACAGCGCTTTAGTAATATTCACGCATATAGCAGGCACACCTTTTCCCAGCAGACAGCCCTAATGAGTACATACCATACATTATACACGTGAGCTAGAGGTGTAAAACATCTCGGCTACTGTGCCACAATACATAAAAGAAAAAAAGCAATCCAACAGTTGCATGCCAGCGGAGCTACCAGCAACGGATGGGCATCGTTCCGGTAATCTACCAGCCAGCTACCAGGCAACAAGAAAACCTACTATGTAAAATTATATTATGCTACGAAATGAGTCGTCGTTGGAGGGGAGGCTAAATGTGAGGGGTGGGACAAAGAAACTCACATCACAAACGTCACTGCGGTCGGCTCCTAGCCATGTCAGCAAGTGTATCTAGCCAAAAGTGTTCATCGTCTTCCGGACCCCAACCAGGGAACCGTGACGCTCCAACCGAGGCCAGCTTCGAAGTGAGGGCCTTCATTCCTCTGGATCAAGTCATCGCTTGGCCATCTTTTCTCTTCTTCCATCCACACCCCCGGCGAGCGAACAACGCACGTCGCGGAAGCCGGTGGGCTGGCATGCGTAACACGTGACCCAGCCATCGGAGCCTGGTGCGTAAAATAACGGTGCTGAGTGGTTCATTTCTTTTTCCTGTGCCGTAAACAAGGCGTCGAACACGCTCGTTGCATACGCGGTGTCCCCACCAGATGTGAGCCAAACGTGACTAGCCCCTTTATGTCCGCTGATCTAATGGGCCAGGTTTCGCAGCCGCTGCATTGTACACTCTACCTTTCAAAGCGAGTGATGTCGCGCCGGCGTCATAGTTGGCGAAGGCTATCAAAAGCATTTAGAACTTTTGCTATTTGGTTTGTCATCTCATCTTCGATCCCAAGGGCGCAGATACAACTTCCCAGCTAGCTGAGTTAATGAACGACTTCTAGCAGATCCCAACCAAGGGTCAGCGCAGGAGGCGATCACTGTCAATCTTGGAGGAAAGCTTTGCACTTCGATGGTGCAAACCAAAGCGCAAAGCGGCTAACAGCCAGTACAAATCCGTATAGTGCAACATGGCACGTTTGGGAGCTATCACAGATGAGGGCAATATTGTCCGCATAATCCAAGTCAAGAAGTCACTCTCCTGGGAGTAGCATCACACCTTCTAAGTCGTGTCCAATGAATGAAATCCCCATGAGTCCGTCAATAGCGAAGTTGAAGAAGAAAGGTGATGGCGAACATCTTTGTCTCATACCACTAGAGATAATGAAAGGCGGCGACAGCTTGCCGTAAGCCATCACTACACGCGTATAATGCTCGGATAATATTTACATATTTCCAGGACACACTTTTCTGACTATACAGTCCCAAAAGGTCAAATCAATCAACCGAATCGAAGGCAACTTTGATGTCAAGGAACACGACTACGGTGCGCCGCCGATTTGTGTGATCGTGCTCCAACAACTGACGCAAAGTGAAGATGTGATCGACGCAGCCACGACCCCGATGAAACCCGCTTTGCTCCCTACGAATCTGGCTTTCACGAGTGCCAGTCTGAGAAGGACTACAGAGGCAAGTAATTTGGAGGCTATGGGGATCTGACTGATTTCTCTATGATTGCCGCATTCCGAATACTAGCCACCTTTGGGACAACATCCTGCTCCCACATTTTCACTAGTAAATCGTAAACCATTAAGAGCTGGGCCCCCGAATTTGAAGAGGGCTGGATGTAGATCATCTGGTGTCATGATCTTGTTCAACTTCAAAAGTCCAACGTCACGTTCGACTTCTGAGCGAGAGAGCGGATCCAAAGAGACAGCCCACGAAGCATGACTATCACTGGCCGGTAATGAACCTAAAAATTCCCGCCGATTAAATTCCTTTCCAGAATGTTTAGCCCAACGATCAAAACGTTTTGACAAGTTGTGAATAGTCTGTCCACTCTCGTCATAAGTTGTTCTACTAAAACCAGGTCTCCCGCTCTCCATCTTCTGTATCAGACGGGATAAGTTTCGTTGATTTACAAGGGCAGCGGCCACTTCCATCTCTGACGCACGAAGAGACCACCAGGATTCGCGGTCTCTCTTCAGGTTAGTACGGAGCTCTGCGAGTTTCATTGTGTTCACTTCCAGCCGGAATATGCCGGTGAACATAGATAATTTCCAGAGACTGCGAAGAGGCCCGATGTCCAGGTTGGCTATTAGATTCACCACGTGAGGATTTGCCTGCAGCTAGTAGGGTCTGGGGAATATGAGACTAGTGAGCTACAAGTGTCTCCAGTGGACGCTTACACAACCCGTATGTCAGCGTATTTCGATACGCATACAAAACAGCTGGCTTCGCCAGTTGACTGGTGTCAATGCGCTCACAGTGTCGTCGTGGGCGTCCGCCAAAACGCATCCGCATGACAGCACATACAAGTGCATGGTCGGTGTCCACATATGTGCTACAAATCGAGCGACAGTTCCGGACGCAACCTCTCCAGCGGTAACTGATTGCAATGTGATCGATTTGCGTCCAAGGCTGGTGGGCGCCAAGTCACCCTCCGGTGGGTGCTGTGTCGGAAGATAGTGAGCGCAAGAAACAAGCGAGAATCTTCAGATAGATGAAGTAAGTGCTCACCGTTATTATTACGGGAGCCTACACCGTGCTGGCCGCCCAGATGCAGTTCACCAATGGATAGTTTTCCAACTTCGGCGTTCAGATCCCCAGCCGGCATAACAGTGTCCGTGCTCCTTCTGTGGCGAAGGAGTTAAGTCAGTCAGCGGTAGAAGTCTTCTTTTACCGAAAAATCGCTAGTTTGCGGGAGCGTAGACAGCGATGACGAATGGACACTCATTAGTCCCGCGCGACATCGAAGCTTTGAACGAGCCAGCCAATCGGACCGCACACATGCGGCTACTGATTGGAATCCAATCAACCAGAGCAGCTCCAGCCCGGGAACTCCGGACAATACTAATATCGGCTTGACCGATGCGCGAAGTTGCATCGTCTCCGGATAAGCTCAATGAGAAAATACTGCTGGTGTCAAGTGAAGGGATCGCAGAGTGAGCACAAAACTCGAGTCTTCCATGTGGGTATCCGATAAGCAGCAGATACTGGTTGAGAGTGTCTCCAATATTCAGACAAGTGCTGCTTGTTGACTGATCTGTAGGAATGTGCATACATTGAGACATGCCGTCGCAACGAGACTGGACCTTAACGTGGTGTGACGGAATGCGTACTTCATTGACCCATTGAGCTATACTGGGTGATGCCTCCGGGCACGTTGAGAGCTACTCCTATCAGGTGTGTCAATGGTGAGAGGTCAGACAAACTCAGTCTCCTGGTCCTCCAGGTTGGGGGTTTGAAATGGGATGGCGTCCATTTCTGTAAAACTAAATCAATGCCACCTCCCCAATGCCTTGCGGACAGGCTTTTGAGCCAAAGGCTTTGGATGAGGACCCTAATCGTCCTCTTGTCAAGGTCTGGGCGCCCTGGCAGTATCTCAACCCACATACAGCCATGACATTTGCTTCAAACATAAAATTCATCCTGCATCGGCCGTCGCGCAGATTATCAAGGGTCGCCTTATCTGCTGCATACAGCAGGGCGGATAAGCGAAAACATGATACTGCTGACGCCTCCCTTCTTTCTTTTCCACCTTTTTCTCTTACTCCCATCCCAACCCCACTACTAACCTTCCTTCTATAATTCCCAGTTTAATTGACAGCAACGGAAATGGCAATGGAGTAGAACCATCTGTAGTCACCATCCCACAGCACCTATCAGACGCCTATCGGCAAAAGTCCTTTATAAAGCCACGCTATCTCGTTTCCATGG